AAATTAGCCATCATTTCTTTACCCAAAAACTCTTTCATTCTTCCCGGATAAAGAGGGGCAGCTGTTGATACCCAATTTTTCTTTATATATTTTCAATATGCAAAATACCTTCAAAATAGCATATGTATGCATATATAAGCATTTCCAAGGGTTTTATTATTTTTCCATAATTTTAAAGGGATTTTAATTGATTTATTTCCCCCTTTTCATCCATAAAATCCCAATAATTATTTCCAAAATTATTATTTTTGATAATTCACCTATTTGATTTTTATATTTATGCCAATATATGGCTAAAGTAATTTTTACATATTTTTACAATTTCATTTAGTATTTTAAAGCTAAATTGCACATATTTGCAATATTAGCCATTTTAAGGTTTAATTAGGTTTTATATTCATAAAATTGGGTCCTGTACTTTTAAATTGTTAATTATATATTATAAATCACTTTAGTACTTTCAATTTATTTTCAAAAACTTTTTACTATTTTTTATAAATAAAAAGGGGGAAAATGGCTATTTAACTTGTAGCCAAATTTGGCTTTCAAATCTAGCCCAAATTGGACCCCAAATCCCAACCCAATTTTAATTTTAACCCGACCCACACCCTTTTTAACCCAAGCCCAAACCGGATCCCCACCTACCCTCTCTAATCTCGACCGTTGATCTCCCAAATCAACGGTCAACGTTGCCCCTTACCAAATTAAACCCAAACGACCCCCTAACCTAATTCATTTCCCACCAACCCGCCGCCCTTGAATCCCCTTTCATCTCCAATTCTCTCTGCAACCTCACTCAAACCCTAGTCGCTGCCACCCAAACTAGCCCTAACCCCCTTCGATCCTCACTCAATCCATGGACTCTCATGGCTGTTTGAGACGCGTACTCGTCTCCTACGTCTTCTGGTGGCCCGCTTTTGTGATTTTGTGGAAAGATCTCGAAGAGATATAGTCTAGGCCTTGCTCAACTTCTATCCATGGTCTTCTTCCGGCCATCCATGGCTGTTCGAGTCAGATCCATGGCTTTTTCGGCTAGATCGGTAACTCTTCGAAGTTTTCTCACTTTTTCTAGGTTCTCTGAAACCCTAACTTTAAAGATTTTTCGATTTTCTTTCAGATCTGTTTTAGATCTGTGTATGTTATGAACCTTTTGGTGTTTTCCTCAAAGATCTCTCCGATTTTTCAAAGCGGCTCTCCGTCTTCAAGATTAGGGTTTCTTAAACTCTTTTAAAAGACTTCTCCTCTTATTTTTCAGTATTATCTTATGATTTTACTATGTTTAAACGGTTTGTTTATGTTTTTTCTTCTACCCGATTCATCGTGTTGAAAACCCTAAGTATCTTTAGTTTTATCCGGGGTCTTGGAATTGTCCTTGTTTATTTTGTATGTATACCTGTTTGATTGGGTTCTTTATGGTTAGATCTTTTCCTTTGTTTGTCTTAACTGATTCTGAGTTCTTACCGTTTTTAACTCAACTTTGTTAAAACCCTAATTTCTTAAAATTTTCCTCACTTGTTACTGTGAGCTTTTGAAGACTTCCTTTACTTATTTCGGTATATTGGTCTGATCTCCTCTACATGTGCTATGTGTTAGACTGGTTTCTTCATTTTGATTCTATGTGTGAGCCATGACTACTTGACTTTGTTGATTACCATGCTTCGAGTAGTCCTTAGAGTATTCATATCACTTCTGAATGTTTGTGTTCATCTAGTTTGCTTCTTTTTGTCAATATGTTTGACCCTGCATGTCTGATATGCCTGTTCATTTTTTTCTATTTATAAGTCGAAGTGCAGAATTATGACTCCTTCTTGATTGATCTTGATTTCCTTAAGTTATGGTTTGATTGCAAGGTTTTCTTATAAACCCCTAATTTTACTCGTTTGTTTAAGTTGATTGATTCCCTCCCTTTATTTGTTGTGCTGTTTCACCCCTGCTGCATCCTTTCCCCAAAATTAAGTATATTCTATACCTAGACTCAATTATATACTCTATACTTTTACTATCCCTTATATGGTAAAAAAATCAATCTTTATCAAACTGATTCTCTTTCCTTAATTATCCCTGTAGTATCCGTTTGAGCTGTAACTCCTTGATTAATGGGAAGTACTTGTATTAATTGATTCTGATGATGATTATTTCCATGTTTGTGTTAAACCTTTACTTGTTACCTTATTTTCCACTTCTTTTCAAAGCTATAAATACCATACCCTCTCTTCTTTAAAGACACAAACAATTTAGTTTAGAACATACACTTACACACTCAAACTCTCTCTTTCTCTACTACTACTTGTGCTACTGCTTTGTCTAGCCGGCTGAAAGCCAGGGCTAGACTGTGGAACTCTGATTGCTTTACTTTTTCTGCACTTTGCTTCTTCAACTGGTATGTCCCTAGTTTAAATACTGAAACTTAACTCTATGTGTTCTNAGCCAGGACTAGACTGTGGAACTCTAATTGCTTTACTTTTTCTGCACTTTGCTTCTTCAACTGGTATGTCCCTAGTTTAAATACTGAAACTCAACTCTATGTGTTCTCTTGTTTGTCAACCCCTGTCTCTTGCACTAACTTAATGGCTCATGCTGTTAAATTGTATTTCTTGTTCACTACTTTACTTTACATGCTTAAAATTCTGCCCTCCTTTTGTTCAAATGTAATCAGCATATTTACTTGTTCTTGTTTATGTCCCTCAACCAGCATGTCTCCTAATGTACTTGATCCATGATTAATTATGTGTTTCTGATTTGGGTCCTCTATGTCCCCAACCCCTACTCCCCTGCTTGTAACTGCTAAAGTTGTACTACTCTTTGAACTTATTCTGCATATGTTGATTGTTGCTCATATCCCCTGTCCCTTTCAAAACTATTTTTTCTAAGCAACTCTTTTGTTGTTGTTGCAAATTTATTTCAAACCAATCATTTTCAAAACTGTTTTACAACTCAACTCTCTTAAATCTGTGTCAAGCACTCTCACATGCACTCTTAGATCATTAGGTTCTGCCCCTCTTGTGTGAGCCTTGCTTTGGGACCCTTGAGCTCCCTCTGAACCTGGACACACAAGAGCTGGCCCTTCCACACTGCACTTACTCTTGGTTATGCAATTTGGGTGTGAGTACTGCCTGGGATCCCTTGAGGTTCTTAGGGAACTCTGACACACCTAGATATGAGAAAGGCTTTGGAACAATATTGGCATTTGAGGTGGTTTATTACATAACTCAGAGAGGAAGTCAAAATCAGGCTTCTTATAGTTGTAACTTCTTATTCTTCATTTCTTATGTAATTCTATCACATGGTCTATAATAATTTGTAAACCGGTATTGGGGTGGCTAGTGAAAAGGGATGGGTAAATATGCATGCTATAGTTGTTAAGGATAGAAAACATGTTATTAGGTTTATGTTCCTAATTGCGCAATAGAAACCATGCTTAGGGTTCATGCATGCATTAGAAATCTTGCTCTTAGGTCTTATGTTTATTGTTTCAGCATGTGCACCTTTACAACATCATGTTTTAAAATTTGTTAATAATTAGCACTTTACTACATTCCTGCCATATGCACTTAGGAATCCTGTTCTTAGGAAATTCTGCATTCTTACCATATGCACTTAGAAATCCTACTCTTAGGAAATTCTGCATTCCTGCCATACACATTTAGAAATCCTGCTCTTAGGAATTGTGCATATTAGATACCATGTTCTAGGATCTTGTTTGCATTCTGCTTAAAACGCCTAGCTAATTACTAATTCATGAAAAGGTAGTAAGTAATGATTTTCACATTGTGATGTTTTCTGAATAAAATTGGCAACAACCTCTGCAACTAGAACAACATGTTTTAGGTAATAAAAATAATCTTCAAACTACCTTAATGACTTGGAACAACTGCTGCATCTCGCTTTGCACCTAGGCAATCCTTAGGTAATAACTTAAGTAAAATTGAAATTGCCTTTATTTAATTATCAATTGTTAAAATCAGCAGGCAAACCTGATTCGAGCTTCTTTTCTGAGTCATGTAATAAATCTGGTTCTGATGTTACCACTTAAACATCCTGCTTTAGAATTTTAAATTCAGAACTTAACTGTGTATAAGTCATGCTGTCTATGTGCATTATTTGTGGAGGTATAACTGAGCCTTCTGCTTGTTTTATGTCTTCCCCCTTTAAATGCAGTCCTACTTGTTTTGTATGTCGCCTTAGTATTTTGCCTTTAAACCTGAGGGTCTGTCTAGAACCTCCTTATAGGATAGAAGTCCTAAATTCCACCGGGACTGATAGGAAAGGACGGGTAACAACATGCAATAAGAGTCGAGACCAATCTTCAGTTAATTACCTTTGCGGGGCGGGAAAGGGTAGATATGGATATGATGAGCGGTGCGCTAATACCACGTTATCCCCTCTTTTGAGGAGTGTCATACCGGGTATTGTATTGATGTGATCCATATTACAAATAAACCTAGGACACCCCTTTACATTCATAAGCATGCTTAGATTGTAACTCTTTTCAAAATCTTGCTTTCATTAGTCGTTTGTGTACTTAAACCCCCTATTATTTGAGCCTTACTTGCTAATTGCACAAATTCACATAAATTGTCTGGCCGAGAACCACACTAGTGGATCCTGAGGGGTGCCTAACACCTCCCCTTAGGATAATTTCAAGCCCTTACCCTATCTCTGGTTATCAAATGTAGTTGTAGATAAACCCTGTAGGTGCCCTAACGCACCTTAAAATTGTTAGGTGGCGACTCTTCAAAAATGCAAACCCCGTTCCCAAAAGGAACGAGTTGTCCTAAAAATGTCATGAACCCTATTTCCGCGGAAGGGAAAAAAGGGGGCGCGACAGATTTGATGTTGGATATTGATAAATTTGGTATGGTTAGACTCATGGTTGAATGGGATTTCAGATTTTGTGACTTTTGTCAGATTTCGAGACTTGGGCCTGGGGGTCGGCTTTGAGCTAATTTCGAATATTTGAGTTATAACTTCGTAATTTCTTGTAGAATTGATTCCTTTAGCCCGTATTGATTTTATTGTACTGCTTGTGGCTAGATTCTAGATGACTGGAAGCTGATTTAAGAGGTAAAAGCGTGTTGGAGTAGAGTTTTGCTCGGATTGAGGTAAGTAACACTTCTAAACATGGTTCTGAGGGTTCGAAACCCCAAATTATGTGTTATGTAATTGGTATTGAGGTGATGCACATGCCAAGTGACGGGCGTGCAGGCGTGCACCGTGAGAATTGTGATCTAGTCGATTCCATGGCACTGTAAAGTGGTTCTAACTTGTTGATATCCGTGTTTTCATCATGTGAAATAGTAATTGAGCTGTCAATCATGCTAGAGATCATGTTTAGGATATATGTCGATACTGTTAGGACCCATAGTGGTCGTTTCTTGTTGTTGATTTACAGATTTCATTGATATTTTGTACTCAGTCACATTCATTCATTTCATAACATATCTCATTCTATGTTGTTATTTATTGATACATCATATCATCATGTTCGGGATAGTTTCATGACATTGTGAGCCCATGAATGAGATTGGAGAGATTGATGACTGAGTGACTGAGAGCCTAATTATGAGTGGTATTTATGGGATCGAGCTGCACTCCACAGCGGTTATACTGATTTATATAGCGCTTGGGCTGAAGGACCCCTCTAGAGTCTACACACACCTCTAGTGAGTGTGGTTGATTATATTGAGGGATGGATCTTCCCTGGACATGGATCTTGTCTGATGCATTATATACCTGGAGATGGATCTTCTCTACGAGCTGGATTAGCCCTACTTAGTACTGGGTGACTGATGGTTAGTGATGTATATATTCCAGGATGGATCTTCCCTGGACTATATGGGCCATATACAGTACTGAGTGATTGAGCATTTGAGAGTGTGAGCACATAAGGCTATCAGCATGGATCATCACATACAATATGTGCATTGACATGTAGAAGTAGAGGAATTATATTCTTCATATCATTCAGATTTGATCTATTTTACTGTTTTGAGTTATCTATTGAACTTGAAAGCATGCCTACGTTTCTACACTATTATTTCTATATTGAACTATGCCGATTAAGTTCGTCACTACTTTAAGTCCAAAGGTTGGATTTGTTACTTATTGAGTTGGTGGTACTCACGCTATACCCTGCACCTCGTGTGCAGATCCAGGTGCTTCCGGTCACGATGGCTGCTAAGTGAGGAGTCAGGATCTTGGGAGACTATCGAGGTAGTTGCATAGCGTTCGCATGCCTTAACTCTTCTTCATTATATTTATTTGTATTTCAGTTCTTATTTCTTAGTCATTGTAGTAGACTGTATCCCGGTGTAGATGCTCATATACTCGGTGACACTTCTATTTTGTGAGAGAATTGCATTGAGTTGCGAACTTATTTCTGCTTTCAAAAGGTTTTGTTTCAATATTAGCTGCTTCCGTATAATTTTTAAGGATTTTATTTGGTTGAATCTATTGAGTAGTTGGCTTGCCTAGTTCTATGATAGGCGCCATCACGACGGTTGGTTTTGGGTCATGACAAGTTGGTATCAAAGCCTAGGTTAACATAGGTCTCACGAGTCATGAGCAGGTTTAGTAGAGTCTTGCGAATCGATACAAAGACATCTATACTTATCTTTGAGAGGCTGCCGAACCCTTAGGAAACTTCACATTCTTGAATTCTTGTCATGCAAATTTGATGATTCTGGTAACTAAACTTCTGTTATTCTATTCTCTCATAGATAGTGAGGATACATACTATTGGGCAGGATGGATAGCCACCAGTACCACCAGCTAGGGCCGTGAGAGGTCGAGGTCACGGTAGGGGAAGAGGTGCAACTCATACATCTGCAGACCCACCAGTCACTCCAGCTCAGGAGCAAGTACCAGATACAGTTGAGCCGGTGGGGCCAACTTAGGCACCAGCTGTGCTCGTTGTGATTTTAGGCCTTCAGGAGGGAAGTACTCAAACTCCCGCTGCCCGTACACTAGAGCAGGTGATGCAGGGACTCTAGACAGCATGGGCACTACCAGCCCAGCCAGTTGCAGCTGCTCAGGCCTATGTGGTTCCTGTTATGACTAATGATAAGCAGCGGAGACTAGAGAGCAGGTATTTTAGAGACCACTGGGGTCTCGTTCACTACTTTTTAGTTTTCTAGGGCTGCCTTCAAATTGTGGGAGGCTTATGAGAGGAGCAGGCCGATCGGTGCAGCACCACTTACCTAGCAGGAGTTCTCCGTTCTCTTATTGGAGAAGTTTGTGCCGTAGTCTCGGAGAAAAGAGTTGCATAGATAGTTTGAGCAGTTATGTCAGGATGACATGTCTGTGATACAATATGAGATGAGGATTTTTGAGTAGGCACGTCATGTAGTTTGGATGGTTCCCACTGATAGGAGAGTATCAGGAGGTTCATTTATGGCCTCACATATCAGCTGCGGTTGCTTATAACTAAGGAGGGGGTATTTGGTGCTACTTTTGATGAGGTGGTAGACATTACTCGGCAGATAGAGATGGTCCGCAGCCAGGAGCGGGTTGAGAAGGAGGCCAAGAGGCCTCGTGGATCAAGTAGTTTTAGTGGTGTTCCCTCTGGAGGTCAGTTCGACCACGGCAGGGGTCGACTTAACATGCTTAGATGGCTCATCCAGTTTACCGTGGTGCATCATCTGGCCATGGTTCACACAGTTCTCAGCAGGGTCACTCATCTCTTAGCGCCCTCCTAACTCAAAGTTCATCTCATGCACCATCAGCTCAGGTTCATCTATGTCGGGTTCTTCTAGCAGTTATCCTGTGCTCGGGTCTCCCTTTAGTCCCCACCGCCATTCACAGGGAGATGTTGCTTTGAGTGTGGAGATTTGGGTCACATCAAGAGGCATTGTCCCCACCTTTCAGGAGGTTCAACTCAGTAGAGGAGGCAACCTATGACTTTAGCACCCGTTACTTCACCACCTGCCCAACCAACTCGGGGTGGAGCTTAGTCAGCTAGGGGTAGACCTAGAGGGGGAGGCTGATCAGGTGGCAACCAGACCCGATTCTATGCACTCCCTGCCAGACCAGATGCTATTGCTTTAGACATATTGATCACATATATTGTCTCAGTATGTCATCGAGATGCTTCTGTATTATTTGACCCTAGTTTCACCTATCCATATGTATTATCGTATTTTGCTCATTATTTGGATATGCCCCATAAGTCTTTAGCTTCATCTGTTCATGTATCTATGCCGGTGGGCGATATTATTATGGTGGACCATGTGTACCGGTCGTGTATAGTGACTATTGGGGGATTGGAGACTAGAGTTTATCTCTTGCTGCTTAGTATGGTCGATTTTGACGTGACCTTGAGTATGGATTGGTTGTCTATATTTCATGTTATTTTGTATTGTCACGCTAAGACTGTAACGTTGGCGATGCCGGTATTGCCACGAATTGAGTGGCGATGTACTTTAGACTATGTTCCCAATATAGTGATTTCATACTTGAAGGCCCAGCGGATGGTTGGGAAGGGTTGTCTATCTTATTTGGCCTTTGTGAGAGATGTTGGTACTGATACCCTAACTATTGATTCTGTTCTGGTGGTGCGAGATTTTTTGAATGTGTTTCCTGTAGACCTTCCGGTCATGCTACCTGATAGGGATATTGACTTTTGTATTGACTTGGTGCCGGACACTCATCCTATTTCTATTCCTCTACACTTTATGGCACTGGCTGAGTTGAAGGATTTGAAGGAGAAACTTCAAGAACTCCTTGATAAGGGGTTTATTAGGTATAATGTGTCACCTTGGGGTGCACCAGTTCTGTTTGTGAAAAAGAAGGATGGTACTATGAGAATGTGCATTGATTACAGGTAGTTGAACAAAGTCATAATCAAGAACAAGTACCCTTTGCCGCGTATTGATGATCTATTTGACCAGTTTCAGGGAGCGAGGGTGTTCTCCAAGATTGATTTGAGGTCTAGGTATCACCAGTTGAAGATTTGGGGCTTGGATATTCTAAAGACAGCATTCAGGACCCGTTATGGTCATTATGAGTTCCTTGTGATGTCTTTTGAGCTGACCAATGCCCTAGCAACGTTAATGTATCTGATGAAACAGTGTGTTTCGGCCTTATCTCGACTCCTTTGTTATAATGTTCATTGATGGTATCCTGGTGTACTCTCGTAGCCAGGAGGAGCATGCCTAGCATTTGAGGGAGGAGAAACTTTATGCCAAGTTCTCCAAGTGTGAGTTTTGGCTTAGTTCGGTGACATTCTTAGGGCACGTGGTGTCCAGTGAGGGTATTCAGGTGGATCCAAAGAAGATAGAGGCGGTTCAGAGTTGGCCCAGACCGTCCTCTACTATGGAGATTCAGAGCTTTCTTGGTTTGGCCGGTTATTATCGTCGCTTCATGTAAGGTTTCTCGTCTATTGCATTGCCCTTGAACAAACTGACCCAAAAGAGTACTTCTTTTAGGTGGTCGGATGAGTGTGAGGAGAGCTTTCAAAAGCTCAAGATTGCCTTGACCACAACTCTAGTTCTAGTTTTGTCTTCAGCTTCAGGCTCTTATATAGTATATTGTGATGCTTCTCGGATCTGTATTGGGTGTGTTTTGATGCAGGAGGGTAGAGTGATTGATTATGCTTCGTGCCAGTTGAAGCCGCATGAGAAAAACTACCTTGTTCATGATTTGGAGTTGGATACCATTGTTCATGCATTAAAGATTTGGAGGCACTATCTCTATGGTGTGTCTTGTGAGGTATTACATATCACCAGAGCCTCCAACACTTGTTCAAATAGAAGGATCTAAATTTAAGGCAGCGGAGATGGTTGGAGCTACTAAAGGACTATGATATTACTATTTTGTATCATTCGGGGAAGGCCAATATGGTCGTTAATGCCTTGAGTAGGAAGGCAGTGAGTACGGGTAGTCTTGCATTCATTCTGTTGGTGAGAGACCTCTTGTAGTTGATGTTCAGGCCTTGGCCAACCAGTTCGTGAGATTAGATGTTTCGGGGCCCAGTCGGGTTCTAGCCTGTGTGGTTTGATCGCATCAAAGAGCGCCAGTATGATGATCCTCATTTGCTTGTCCTCAAGGACAAGGTTCAACACGGTGATGCTAGAGCTGTTACTATTGGAAATGATAGGGTGTTGAGGATGTAATATAGATGGGCTACTTGAGTTTATTCTTGAGGAGGCCCACAACTCGCGGTATTCTATTCATCTAGGAGCCGCGAAGATGTATTAGGACTTGAGGCAACACTGTTGGTGGAGAAGAATAAAGAAGGATATATTGGGATTTGTAGTTTGGTGCCTTAACTGTCAGCATGTAAAGTATGAGCATTAAAGACCAGGTGGATTGCTTCAGAGGATGGAGATTCCAAAGTGGAAGTGGGAGCGGATCACCATGGATTTCGTAGTTGGGCTCCTGCGGACTTCGAGGAAGTTCGATGCTATTTGAGTGATTGTTGATCAGCCGACCAAGTCCGCGCACTTCATTCCAGTTGGTACTACTTATTCTTTAGATCGGTTGGCTGAGATTTACATTCGAGAGATTGTTCGCCTTCACGGTGTGCCAGTGTCCATCATTTCAGATCGAGGCACACAATTTACATCGCAGTTTTGAAGAGCTGTGCAGTGAGAGTTGGACAGCCAGGTTGAGCTGAGTACATCATTTCACCCTCAAATGGACAGACAGCTCGAGCGCACTATTCAGATATTGGAGGATATGCTACGCGCTTGTGTCATCTATTTCGAGAGTTCATAGTATCAGTTTCTGCTGCTTGCGAAGTTTGCCTACAATAACGATTACCAGTCGAACATTCAGATAGCTCCGTATGAGGCTTTGTATGAGAGGCGGTGTAGATCTCCGATGGGTTGGTTTGAGCCGGGTGAGGCTAAGCTATTGGGTACAGACTTGGTTCAGGATGTATTGGACAAGGTTAAATTGATTCAGGATCGGCTTCGCACGACAGAGTCTAGACAAAAGAGTTATGTCAATAGGAAGGTCCGTGATGTTACTTACATGGTTGGGGAGAAGGTTCTGCTGAATGTTTCACCCATGACGAATGTTATGAGATTCGGGAAGAAGGGCAAGTTGAGCCCTCGATTTATTGGTCCGTTTGAGGTACTACAGAGGATTGGAGAGGTGGCTTACAAGCTTACCTTGCCACCTAGTTTGTCGAGTATGCATCCAGTATTTCATGTTTATATGCTCCGGAAGTAAATCGGCGATCCATCTCATGTTTTGGATTTCAGCACGGTTCAGTTAGATGGTGATTTGACTTATGATGTAGAGCCGGTGACTATTTTGGATCAGCAGGTTCGAAAGTTGAGATCAAAGAATATAGCTTCAGTAAAAGTGCATTGGAGAGGTTAGTCAATTGAGGAGGCTACTTAGGAGACCGAGCAGGAGATGCAGAGTAGATATCCACACCTATTTGTTACTCCAGGTA